CCACTCCCAATTAGGGAGCTGGGGCAGGAAGTGAAGGAATGGAGTGTGACATCTACACCCCCATGGCCCATGTCAGCAGTCTGTCCTAGATCTGTCTTGCTCCTAGTCCATCAGTAGCCACATGCCTTCTCTAGACCTCAGTTTGGAGGCTGTTTATTTTATGTCTCCTGTTTGGATAAACAAAACATTGGGGTGACCATAGGGCTGATCATCTTTAATGTTTCTCATTTGGATGTAAACTGACATGTTGATGACTACTGTGTAGCAGGCAGGTGTCTCTCACTCACTTAATCAATAGTATCTTCTCTTCTGCCAGTTATTCAAATGGTGCAAACTGCTTCTCTGTATGGGGTAACTACAAGCTATATTCTGGTGGGTGACTCACACAAATTGCCAAGAGAAAAGATAATTCTTACTAGTACTGAAGCTGCATCTTACTGCCTGGGTAGGGGAGGAGAAGACGGTATGGTACCATTACATTATCCAAAGAGTCTGGATTATTAAGTCACGCATATGAAATAGGGGATGGCAGTTTAAAACCCAGATCCCTGTAACAAGCCAGTCTTGTTCCTGAGGAGTGCATATTTGTCAGTCCCTTAATTGGCTGTCAAACAAATGGATGGAAGTGCAGTAATTATTCCATATCTTGTTGTTTGTGCATAGCGCAATAACAGCAATCAAATGGAAGCATATTCAGTGGTGCAAAAGAATTCCCAGCCACTGGCTGCAAACTTTCAGCTGCTTCAGTGTCAAACTGATCCATCCTATATCAGACGTAAATCACATGAATAACATGTCCTAGCTGCTGCTGCATAGAACAGTCTGATGCTGCTAGAGGAAGTGCAGTGAATCCTGGCAGAGCTCCCACCTAGGAGGCACAAACAGTGCCTCAGGAGGCACTCGCTGGTCACTGGTCCTCTCCTGTCATATGTGAACTGCTCCCAAACAGTTCGGTGTCAGTTATGACCATGGGGAGCAAACACTGAGTCTTTACTTCAGGAGGTACTGGGTTGCTCTTGTTAGTTATGTTTAATTGCTTTATATCAGGTGCTCAACCCCCAGCCTGTGGGGCAGATGCAGTGCACGGTACTGTGTCACCCAGCCCTCAGGGCTCCCCAGAGGACCAGAAAGTTGGGGCGGGGGGAAGGAGAGTGAAGCAGTGCCACTGCTCCCCTGCTGCCAAATATCTGGGCCAGTGGAGAGCCCCAGGTCCTGCATGCTGACTGGGGGACCTGATCCCAGTACATGAGGCCAGGCAAGGGCAGTGCCAGGTCCCAGGGCTCTATCCCAGTGCAGGAGGGGGCAGCACTGGGCCCCTGGGACCTAATCCTGGTATGCAGGGAGTGATGGGTCCTCAGGACCTAATCATGATGCATGGGGGTAGGAAGGGATGGTGTCAAGCCCCAGAACCTCAATCCCAGGGGGCACAAGTGGGCAGTGCTGGGCTCTGGGTTCTAGGGGGCAGGAGGTGGGAGGGTGCAGTGCCAGGCCCTACGGACCAGTTTCAGAGTATGGAGCAGAGAGGGGGCAGTGCCAGGATCTGGCCTGCAGACCAGCCCCGCACCATTCATGTGGTTGAGCACCACTGCTTTAGATCTTCTGCTGTGTTGTGAAATTTCTCGCTTTGTAGTCGAGGGAGCCAGAAAACTCCATGGACTTCCTTTCCTCCTTGCACCAGGAGCCTTGCCCCCTGTATTAGAAACAAGAGATGCTCTTAGGCACCTCCGGAATCCTAGAGTCAAATGCCCTGAGAGTGATCCCAAGGGATAGGGAATACAGTGGCAGTTGCATAACCTGGGGGGAGACAGAGAGTAGGGCACCAGCTCCAAGCACTTATGCAGAGGGGCTGCCAGCATGGGAGCCCTTCAGGAGCCCCCGCTGCCTCCTATGTTCAGGGAGCTTGTGCTGAGGCAGCAGGAGCCCATGCCACGTGGCGCTGTTATTGTAGGCCCTGCATGAGGAAGTAAGGCTTAGCTGCCCACTCAGCACCCTCCCACCCTGTGCTGCCCAGGGCGCATTTTAAGCTACATCTATGCACAGTGCTGGGAAAGTGCATGGGTAAGGGTGGGACAGTTGCATGGGAGTATAGGTGAGGGACCGCTGTCCTCTTTCATCCGCCTGAGACAATTTGTCCACAGGGTCCCAGGGAGTATACCGTAATTGGGCTCTGAAAGGGAAGACTGCTTGATCACTACCAGCTAAGAGTAGCAACTCTGTAACCTGTATCAGAACAAAAATAATTAGAGAAGGCTTTTTTTTTAATTGCACTCACTGCCAAGGCAGGATGGTTCCTTGTTCTCAGGGCACTAGCTTCTGCCTGGGAGGTTGCTGCTGCTCAGCCTCTCTTGATCAAGAGAACTGTCATGTGGCCATTTGTAGACGTAAAATGGAGGAAACCTCTGAGTTCCTCCAGATCAGACATGGCTGGACTGTGCAATGCCAGGAAAGCAGCAAGCTGAGGGTTCAGGGGGGTCTAGGTGAAACGCAGCTTCCCTTTTTTGGTTTAATTCAGAAAAGTGCAGGATTGCTTCTAGTCACACCATAAGAGCACTGAGGGTGGGCGGGGTTGAGGAGGCTGTAGCCTGAGAAGTGATCTGAGCATAGGGCTGGGAGCCAGAGCTCCTTCATTGTATTCCTGCTTTAGCCCCTGCCCCCCACATGATGCTATGGAAGTCACTTCCACTCTGCTTCCATTTAAAATACGCTTGTAAAATACTACCTGCTTCACATTGCTGATTCACTTATTATTGTTTGTTTGGTATCTTCAAAAATAAAGAAGTATTCCCAGATTTAAATCTAGTCCATTAATCTAAAAAGCTGAAAGGATTTTCAGGTCTTAGATAATATGCCCCTGACCCTCCCTGTCAACTGCTGTGATTTTTATAATCATAGGTTTCTCTTATTTGTGTGTGTGTGTGGGGGGTAAATATTTTCTGTCTTGCTTTGTAAAAACCCCGTGCAAACTGTTATCAAATGCACAATAAATAGAAAACAAAGATGTTTTCATGAATGTGTTTTGTCTGTACCATCTCAGGTGTTTTTCATAATAGCAACAAAAATAATGAGACTGAAACGTGCTTTATGTATTTATTATTAAGGCCTTATTAAAATCTTTCCAATACGATTGCACAAACGAGTGTCACCCCATGTGGATGGTTCTCTGGTTATTCTTCCTGAGCAAATTGAACCGTTCACACCTAGCTCCTATACCAGTGTGTCCCAAGTAGGAATACAAAAGGCACTGTAGTCTACAAGTGTCCTGTAACTAGGAAGAGGTATGTGTGTGTGCTAGGAGCAAGGGGAGTGAGATGGCTAATCTGTTTGTAGGGTTTTTTTCTAAAATTGGGAGATCTGTATCAGTGCAAACCTGTTGCACAGTACAAACCAGGATTGCACTGGCAAGGTTTGCTCTTGTAAGTCACCAGGGAATGTCATGGTAGCTACATTACCAACCTCAAGCTTCCAAGAACCATGAGACTGGCTTAACATAACGAGATTTCTTTTGGAGTTTTCATTTTCTATTTGGAATCCTTTGAAGCCTTCAGGATTTGTGTTTTCAAGCTTTTCTCAACAGTCACATTTTTGCCCAATTTAAAATGAAAAAGTGAGCTTTTCATGTAATTCCTGGATGCTCAGAGCTGAGGCTTTAAGGACAATGCCAAATATTGTGACTTGCACAATCAAACCAAGAATGCTGGGAACTACAACTAGTCCAAGCCACCGGTACATGCCATCTGCACTAGTGCTGGGATAGCTGCATGAGTATAAGTGCATTGATGCAAAACCAAACCCTTCCTGCCTTTTTGATGGCATTCAGTTGGTGCAAGCCTGATGCAGTAATTTGTATTGAACCCTTTTGGCCATAAGTCAGAATAGCTTGGAATGGCTTCATAACTGAAATCAGAGCAGGAAACTGCAGGGGAGCAACTATCTAGTCAATGTCCAAAAAGAACTCATGGCATAAATTTTACAGGAGTCTTTCCAGTTCATAACCTCTGGTGGCAGTAACGCAGGGCATATATTTTAGTATGGCTTATTAAAAATGTTGAGAGTTTCCTTTTTAACCTGTGCAGGATCTCCATGTCTATCAGGGGTTCTCTGGAGTATGTGAACCAGCTGTCGGCTATGTCATTTGTATTCCTTGGCACTGATCTGTGCACAATTACAACCCTTTTCTGAGCCCTCTCCAGAACTTTTCTCTCAAATTCTAAACAGATTATGTCTCACGTGTGCACAGGATTGGTTTCTAAAGCCTCTGAGCTGTCAGCCCCAGCTGATTTACACTGCAGAGTACAGTGAGCAACAAAGTACAATCTGCTCGACATCTCAGTGGATGGTGTGCTCCACTCATGCAGATAAGCAAGCACATTCTTGTACTTTTTCTTCAGCCCCTGTGTTTACACTTTGATGCAGAAACACATTGGTTTATTTTACTGGAAGTTTTATAGCTGAAAGTAGCCCTCCACAGATGCAGTCTGAAGACCAGCATGTAGCTTTGCTTACAAATTAAATGTGGGTGGCTCTGGGTTGTTTCAGTGGATCTTTGTCTGTACTGCAGAACTAGCTTTCAGGGCTTAGCTACATGGAGAAAGCTTCACCCATACACTGGTGAAATTATATTGGTATGGTCAAATTGAGATCACTATAGCACTGTGACTCCCTCTGGATACTTATTTGAGAATAGAAGTGGCTTTTTCTTAAGCTTCTTCAGCAATGTAAAAGGTACTTTTCCCTGCAGTAAGTGCCTCTATGTGGGGCATTAGAGAGAATTAAATTCACGCCTTCCCTTACAGTGGTATAACATCCCCCTGCTGGCAATCTCAAAGGCTGTCGGCCTCTTTTCAGTGGTCAGTAGTAGGACTGAGATGCGTAAATGAGACTGGTAAGGCTAGAATGCCAGCGTTCAGCTCCGTAAGTGGCAGTGCTCTCCAGGTTTCTTTATTCAGTCTTCCACTGGGATTTGCACACCCAGCGTGAACTTGTTTTTTCTCCCTCTGCAGAAATTGTCGATGGCAATGTTAAAATGACCCTTGGAATGATCTGGACCATCATCCTTCGCTTTGCCATTCAGGATATCTCAGTAGAAGGTAAACCTTGGTATTTTTCCACTGCTGTTTCAGAATGGATGGTCCTCATGGTCAGGGCAACAGCATCTCTTTGCTACATGAGATCCAGCTCTGGTGGTACCGAATCAGCACATCCTGGAAGTCACCAGGGAGCCACTAAGATCCAAGTTGGCTTGTGCTGTAATTTCCCTTTCTGGCCAATTCATAGGTTAGTACAGACATCCTGGGAAGAGTGTTTAACTCCTTCTCCCTGGAGAGTATTTATGAGGTGCATGAAATGGATGGGGAGGCGGTCATAGACTCCAGAACATTCCCTTACTGGCTGATCCATGGAAATGGTCATTTTGCTACCAGTCTCACAAAGCTGTCCCAAATCTGAGAGCTGTATAAGAGAACATTCCCTCAAAAAAGGAAGCTAAAGGCATGGCTCAGTGCTGTGGTAGTAAAGGGCCAGAATGAACCCAAGGGATGAAAAAATTCCAGAGAAATTGGTTAGTCCACTTGCCTCCTTTGCTCTTTCTCTAGAGACATCTGCTAAAGAAGGACTTTTATTATGGTGTCAGAGGAAGACAGCCCCCTACAAAAATGTGAACATCCAGAACTTCCATATCAGGTGAGTCAGAGGTGGGGATTATCTTTATGATCTTGACAGATCATGTTTGTCCATAAGACCCTTGGCACCGTTAGGCATCTTGCATTACCAAATTCTGAAGGAAATTGTGAGACTTGCTGTTACCCTCCTATTATACAAGAGAAAAATGGGCTGTAGAGACTTGTCCAATACCATACAGTAAATTAGCATCAGAGCCCATCATAGCACCCAGATTACCAGCCCCCCAGTTCCTCACTCTGGCCACAATTACTGCCTTCGACAAATATTTTGGAGCATTACATTTCCTGAAGATGCTGTCCATGTTGGAGACTTGTCAAAACATTTTTGAACCAGTGATACTACAAATAGCTTTAGGAGGTGTAGTTCCTAAAGTGAGGTCTACACTAGAAATGTTTGCTGACGTGGAAATGCTGGGAAGAGGCTTTGTTAATATTTTTATACTGGTCAAAGCAACTGTAAATGGTACAGTTCCTTTTGCTGGTATGGTTCAGGGTACCATTATGAGCTATGCCAGCAAAAGCACTTTTTGCTGGTATGTCCTGCATCTACACCTGGAGGGTTTGTCAGCCTAGCTATCGTGTGACATAGCCAAGTGGGAGATCTGCTAGGGTGTGCAAACACTTCCTGGAAATGAAGGGACCCCCAGTACTTGAAGCCCGCAGTTTGGTTAAACAAATCAGTACAATGCATACTTTGCAAGGAATAAGGCATTTTCTGAGAGGGGAAACATGCAATTGATTAAAATTGTTTGATTTTTGTCTTTGTTTTGGGTTTTTTTCTCTTTTCTTCCACCTTTCAATGGTAGGAGACAGGTCATTCCTGCTACTTAACGAACATCAGACTTGTCTCTCTCTCTGATTCTGTATAACAAGCTTGAACTGGTTGGGGAGAGGGCAGAGATGGCAAGCATAGTGATAGGTGTAACCCAGAGTGATAATTTTCCCCTCCATGTTTTATCTGTCTTTTCCTAGAAGTATTTTCATGCAAATTCAGACATTCACCTATTTTTTTCATGCCTAAGCTCGGTTCTGCCCATTAGTACTATTCAGACTCTATTTGACAATGAAAATGTTGTGGTAATAGATGTGGCAGCAATAAAAATGATCCCAGACCACTGAAGGCTGTAGGCATTGCTGCCATTGGCTTCAGGGGGAGCAGGATAGGAGCCTGATGCAGAAATAGGCCTTGTTCACATTTTAATGCTTACTGAAGCCTTAGCTAAAAGTAGATGAAGCCTGAAGTAATGATCTAGGCTCTCAGCATCTTAGTCCCATCTGTTGTGCACTTTCAGTCAGCTGCCTGCCACTCCACCTGTTTGAACATCACTAATTATGTCCTCTTCTACCTTCTTTACAGCTGGAAGGATGGTCTTGGCTTTTGTGCTTTGATTCACAGACATCGCCCAGAACTCATCGACTATGGGAAGCTACGAAAGGTACCAACTTCATTTGTTTTGAGAAGCAGGTGCCCCAGGTCTATGGAAGATAAGAGGGAGGAAAGCTAGTCTGACATGCAGTAATTGGAGGACTTCAGCTGCAACTGATGTTGACACTAACTGGGGTTTGGGGAAGAAAAAGAAAAATCAATACATTCCACTTCACCAAGGGAAACTTCATGAATTATCTCCCTGCTCTTTCCTGATTTCAGATGACTTATTGGCTGGCCTGATTTCAGATGACTTATTGGTGGCTGTACTATGTAGGAACAATCAGTCACAGGTGCATAGGTCCCAACCTGCAAAAGTTTGTGTGTCTGCAACTCAGGCTTAAGTGCTGGGCAGCAACACACTCAAAACACACCCTGTGGCTCTCCACACGCTACCTCTTCAGCTGCAAAAGGCATCTGTGTTCATGCAGTGTTGCTGGTGAACTAATTAGTACTGCTGAGGGTCAGGGATAAATCATTTGTCTGTAGCACCATATGAACACGGCTGTGCTGTTTTCAGTCAGGGAGGTAGTGCACACAGAGCAGTGCAGTGTTTGAGCTGCCTGGCACAGTAAGTCTGTAGTGCAGATATGCTCTCAGCAATGCCAAGTCTGACACTAAGTACATGTGCAAACTATATGCATTTGCCAGTCAAGTCAACATTAGAGGCAGTTTCTGGAGCAAATAGGATGGAACAGGATACTGGGCTGTGAGGGTGCCTTTTTTTACAGAACAGCTGAGAAACAGGCGTATGTGTACTCTTTTGCCAGAATGAAGACTTGTCATGGGCTGCCAAGTTAGTAGTTAGAGTCCAATGCCTCTAAGATGACTTCCTGATACTTATGTGAGAAGGAAGGTTTATTACAGTAATAACTTTCCTTGGATCAACTGCATAGTTGGGAGTGATGTTAGACAAACTTTTGGGAACAAAGTGAAGGTCCTCAGGAAGGGCATTGTGTGGCTGAAATCTTATCTAATGCCTCTCCCCAACAATAGAGTTGAGTCCAATAAAAAAATACCATCAGGCAAAACTTGCTTCTTGCCTATTCTCTGGGTCATCACAGCTACAACACTGCAGCTCTTCCTAGTCCTTAGATTAGTATGGTAAACAAAAAAAAAGTGCTTTCACTAAAGTTTCCTACCTCTTGAAAAATGACCAAAAATACCATCTTGTTCTCTGAAAGATCAACTCCCTTTGTGAAGCAGCAGGTATGACTTAGTGACCAAAATAAGCGTTTAGTGCTTTGTATAACCCACAGCATTCCTCAGGCAGCAGAGGTATGAAGGAGTGAACTGGATTCTCCTTCTGCTTTTGTATTGTCAATAAAGCAGCATACTTAATATATCTGTGCATACTCACTGAAGGCACAGGGACTGTACAGAGATTCCTGAGGCATATCTTTGAAGGATTTTTAGTCATGGTGATGGTGCACAAGAAGGAAAGGCTCAAGCTAGCTGTCTGATACCAAGATCAGTGTAAGGGGCTGGTAGTTTAAGAAAATACATATGTGGTACCTGTAAATTGAGCACATTGGGTATAGAAGTCATTGAAGTCATATTGCTAGTGCAGTGGGAACCAACCTTTTTGGCAGGCATGCCACCAGTTGACCCCACACCCTCCACAAATGCCACTCTGATCATCTTCCTCTGCCCAATCTGTTGCTCTGCTTTCTTCACCCTACTCTGTACCCCCTTAAAAATCTCCTGCACTGCTTTCTGCTTTTTGCCCTGTGCTCCCTGCCTGATCTACTGCTTTGTCTTCTGCTTCCTGCCCTATCTGCTGTTTTGCCACCTGTCCCCTCCCTGATTTATCATGTGCCACAAACAGAGACTGCACATGCCACTTGTAGCATTGGTTACTGCTGTAGTGGATCCCTGTTTCTTGCAATGAGGCTAGGTGGATGGGATCAATATACAAATAAGCAACTTGCAAATGAGCTAATCAGATTAGCTGTGTCTTTGAAACGGTCAATTATAGGGTGCTTCAAGTTTTAGACCATCAATAACCTGAGAGGTTTTTATTGTCTTGTAGAACAGTTAATTGTATCAGTTTGTATCTTGAGTCAGCACCTGATGATTCTGAATAAACAATGGGGGAGGACTCCACCTATTTACACAAACTGCAGCAGTGAAAAAAAATAAATGGTTAGAATCAATCCCATTTTCAATTTATTCTATTGGAAAAAGAAAGCAGCTGAACAATGTATCTTTGAAAATGAAAAAAACAGCTGGAAAACTACACAGTTCCCTTATTAGAAACAAAAGCCAAACCCAAATCCAAACAAACCTGGTGTGAGGGAAGAGGGGAAAAGTCCTTGCTAGCTTTTCAGAGTGAAAATGAGAGTGATTATCTTGTCTGAATCAAGTAGCCGTGGGAAGGGACTGGCAACCCCTGCTTCTCTATCATCTTGTGTCTGCTTTATAAAATAGTAAAGAGAAACAGCATCAACAGGACCCTCATCTATGCTTGTCTGTCCCTGCTGGCAGTTCTAGCAGCAGATAGGAGCCCCAGCTGCCAAGCTGCCACAGTGTGTGCCTGCTAACGACCTTAGGGGTGTTTGTCTAAGGACACAGGCAGACAAGGTTCTTTGGGTAGATGTGATATCTTTTATTAGACCAACTAAATAGTTGGAAAAATTGTTCTTTGCAAGCTTTCGGGCACAAACGCTCATAACCTGGCAGCAATACTCATTGTGGCTCTATTCCAGGGGCGGGCAATTATTTTGGGCAGAGGGCTGCTTACTCAGTTTTGGTAGGCTGTCAGGGCTGCATGGGTAGCCCTGCCCCTTGACAGGTGCCCCACCCCCTGGTCACCATCTTGGGACCAACATCCCAATGTCTTGAAACCAATGTCCCAGGACCATCTCCGGTGGGGCCCAGAGCGGGGCACAGGTCGGCAGGAGTCTGTGGAGCCAGGCTGGGCTACACCAGCAGGGAGAGGGGGGAGCTGGCCCAGCTCCATAGAGCTCCTGCCACCCTGCCCTGTGCTCCCGCTGGCTCCCCGCCTGCTCACGCCCAGTGCCCCCCAGCCCCACAGTACAGGCACAGCGTACAGCCCCGACTCCCTGCTCACTGGCAGAGAAGAAGCTGGTGCTGAGCATGGGGAAAAGCGGCCCCTCGCCCGCCCCATGACCGGTACTCCCTGCTGCAAGCACTCGCAGCCCACACAGGGCTGTCTGGAGCAGACACAGGCAGCCTCATCTGGGCTGCAGATGGCTACAGCATGGGGTGCTAGCCATGGGGCGGGCGATGGGCCACTTTTCCCCACGCTAAGCACCAGCTTGTAACCTGCCCCACTGCCAGCGTGGCAGTGGGGCCAGGTTACAAGCTGGTGCTGAGCGTGGGGGGAGGTGGGGGGGGAAGCAGCCCCTCCCTGCCTCATGGCCAGCGCCCTGCGCTGCAGCTGCTCACAGCCTGCCTGGGGCTGCCTGTGCCTGCTCTGGACAGACCTGTGCCGGCTGCGCACAGGGAAGGAGCCTAGGGAAAAGCTGAGAGTGGGGTGGAAGCAGCCCCTCCTCCACCCCACATCTGGTGCCCCGCACTGCAGGCGCTTGCAGCCTGCACGGGGATGTCTGGAGCAGGCACAGGCAGCCCCATGTGGGCTATGAGCAGCTGCAGGTTCCACTTGAGTGAAAAGTGTGCCTGAGGAAGGCATCAGCAGCTGAAGGGACAGTGGCATCTGGGAGAAGATTCAGAAGGATCAGCACGTGGCTTCTGCCAGATGCTGGAAGAAGCTTCTGTCCGCTCGGCGGCGGTGGTGTAACTGCCAAAGGAAAAGAGACCTCTGCTACTTCAGAGGAGCTCTGAGTACAAATTTGCTCAAGTGCAGTGTAGCATAGAGTAGGCCTTATTCCTTTTCCATTTCCCTGTCTACTTTCCCTTGGCAAGAACCTCTCCCCCATGCTCTATCCTTTCTGCCATTGGTCCCTTTTCCTTTCCCTTTGCTCTTCTAGGCTTTGCTTAGATTTCAGTTTAAAGGTATGATGTGAACTAATGCATCTGGAATCTCTACTGTAGACAAACAGTCTTCTCTGCTTTCAACATAAGCTACATCAGTGGTATCCAAGTCATCTGGCCCTGAAGACTGGATGAGTGGAGTGAAGCCAGTACACAGGCTGGATGAATGGTGTGGGGCTGGTCCTGTAGGCAGTACTGGGCCCATAGTGCACTAAGCTGACTGGGTACAATGCCACCAAAGTTGCCAAGTACCCATTATTCCTTTCTTGCTATGGGAGAACTGTTTAACTAATTAAACAGTAGCTTGTGTAGCACAGCTTTAATCTATCTGGTAAGCAGAACAGATTTGTGAACTTTAGAAGGCAAGTAGCCAAAAACCTTTCCTACATTAGCCTCCTCTAAAATCTTCCCACTGTGTTGCACTACCACTGGCATGCAGCTCAACTATTTCCTTTTCCATTCCCCTACTCTTACTCAGCTCCTCTTCTTGAGCAGGAGCAGAAACCAGCTCAAGCCCAAAGCTTTGGTGATAGCTGCTGAGACTGTTCCAGTATAAGCAGGTATCTGAGCTAATTTTGCAGATACCTCTACCTAAATGTAAGAGAGTTTAACAGCCCTGACTGACAAGACTCAACCTTGCATAGCTTGTGAGCTGACAAGATCACAGCCTGAGAAAGTATTTGCCACTGTTTAGCTGCCAAACGCTGTTTTCAATCAACAGCAGTAAATCTTGGTTTCTGTTATTAAATTGACATCCTCTCTATTTATGTGCACCTTTCTCTGATCTTCAGGTCCTCTGACTCTTTCTTTTATTCAGCTCTCCTTTCCACTGTTTCCTGAGCTAAGGCTTTTCCTGGTGTCACCACACTTTGTGTTGTTTTGCATTTCTTCTCAGCTCCGCGATATCAGCTTAATTTTGGTGTGTGTGTGTGTGTGTGTGTGTGTGTGTGTGTGTGTGTGTGTGTGTGTGTGAGAGAGAGAGAGAGAGAGAGAGAGAGAGAGAGAGAGAGAGAGAGAGAGGGAGAGAGAGGGAGAGGGAGACAAGTGGGGAGA